TCCCCTTCCCCCCCTGCACCCACGCGGCGGCGGACACCCCCCCCACCCCCCCAAATCCTCCCGTGATTCGTCCTCCAGTCCAGACACACACCCGCTGCATCCCAGCCATGACCCATTCACGCGCCCGCACAGAGATACACCCCTCACAGCATAGCAGTAAGAAACGAAGGCTCCGGCGTTGGCGATTCAACATTCTCTCACCGGGAGTTGGTTCCTTCACCACCACACGCATTGCGCCATTCCTTTCTCGTAGTAATCGTCTTGTAGTAATCAAGAGTCACCTTGACTCTCGTACTCCGGACAGAGGCGATGGCGGTTCGTATCGCTGATCCGAGGGAGTCGCAGTTGTCCCTCGCGCTGCGACTCGCAATCGTGCTGCTCCCGTGGACCGCATATTTCGGCGCCAATTGCGGAGGCGTTCAGCTGGCGGCAGCGCAGACGGACTGCCCGCTGATTGGTCAGGGCATCGACCCGTACACGGCGGGGATCGTGGCGGAGAAGCCCAAAGTGTTTCTCTCCGTCCAGCTCAAGAAACTCGTCACCGTCGACGGTGAGCCGTAGTAGTACCCAGCTTCATCGCCTTGTTCCGCACGCGGCATTGCCGCACTCGCCGCACGCACACGCGCCTGCGCGCGCGCGCGCGCACGCACTCTCCTCTTTCTCCTCCCACCACATACAACCTGGGGTGCAAGGGGCGGGCCATTCCACAACACCATGTTGTGTGTGACATGATGAGGATCTCATGTGATGTGACACCCGCACCGACATCGCCCTCCATCCATCGTCCCGTCCCGTCCCTCCCTGGTCGTCTCGTCTCCCCCCTGCAGCCGTCAAGTACAGCTACATGGCGTATTTTCAAGTTGTTGCCACGTGGAGAGACCCTCGAGGTGTGTTTCGCCGTTCCCTCTGCTGCTGCTGGCCTCGCGCCGCCCCACGTTCCGCCTTTCGCGGCCTTGCCGTTGGGTCAGTTGTCGTCCGCTCTCGTGGCGATGCCAATGTGTGCTCGTCGTATCAACGCCGTGGTGCTACCAGCACGTAGCACGCAGTGCGAAGCACACGCAGTACGAAGCACACGCAGTGCGAAGCACACGCAGTGCGAAGCACACGCAGTGCGAAGCACACGCAGTGCGAAGCACACGCAGTGCGAAGCACACGCAGTGCGAAGCACACGCAGTGCGAAGCACACGCAGTGCGAAGCACACGCAGTGCGAAGCACACGCAGTGCGAAGCACACGCAGTGCGAAGCACACGCAGTGCGAAGCACACGCAGTGCGAAGCACACGCAGTACGAAGCACACGCAGTGCGAAGCACACGCAGTGCGAAGCACACGCAGTGCGAAGCACACGCAGTGCGAAGCACACGCAGTACGAAGCACACGCAGTACGAAGCACACGCACAAAGCAGCACTGCATTTTGTCACGATTTTGAATGACCCTAATTAATTCTTTCACATTGTCCCCATGCCTCTGCCCTCTGCCTCTGCCACTTTGTCTCTGCCTCTGCCTCGGCCTGTGCGTGGGTGTGTGGGGCCTGTGCGCGTGTGTGTGCGGCCTCTGCCTCTGCCTGTGCGTGCGTGCGTGCGAGCGGCCGGCAGTGAACGACACGCTGGCGATAAACAACGCGGTGAACGCGTTCGGGCCGGCCATCACGGGGCTGGCGACGGCCAAGTGCAAGCCGGACGTGACGTTTTCGGGGTTTAACATCAGCCAGAAGGACGAGTGCCTCAAGACGCCCAAGCAGAACAACCTGCCGCAGATGGACGGCTGCAATAAGCCGTGCACGCCGTCCGGCACCACGTGCTGCGACTCCATCTGGATCCCCTCGCTCACCATCAACAATGTTCTTTTCTACCCGCAGGACCGCTTCCAAACCGGTAACGTCCTCTTCTACCCCTAACACCGCTTCCAAACGGGTCAGACCGCTCCCAAACCTTTCACCTCCCTCGCCCGCTCCCATCGCTCGCTCAGTCCCTTGCTTCCTCGGTTGCGTGCATGCACCTCTCTCACTGCCCACAGATGCCACACGCCCTCGCACCTACCTGTCTACCGATACCCCAGTTGGCATTAACGTCCCATCCTTGTGTAATCCCCATTTTCTTGTATTCCTCCTCATCATGCCCTTCCCCTCCCTTCCTCCCACACTTCCTCCCACCCCACCCATTTCCCTCTCTCTCTTTTCTCCCTCTGTCCCTCCCCGCCGCTCTCTCCTCCCTCACCGCTTCTAGCGCAGAGAGCATCTATTTCTTCGGGCAGTACAGCAACGAGGTCAGCTCGGTCGACAGAGAAGTCGTCGTTGGAGGTGCTCCTCCCGTCCATCCCCTCCTCTCCTTCCACTCCCCTCCTCTCCTTCCACTCCCCTCCTCTCCTTCCACTCCCCTCCTCTCCTTCCACTCCCCTCCTCTCCTTCCACTCCCCTCCTCTCCTTCCACTCCCCTCCTCTCCTTCCACTCCCCTCCTCTCCTTCCACTCCCCTCCTCTCCTTGCACTCCCCTCCTCTCCTTCCACTCCCCTCCTCTCCTTCCACTCCCCTCCTCTCTCTCCACTCCCTTCCTCCCTCTCCACTCCCCTCCTCTCCCTCCTCTCTCCTCCTCTCCCTCCTCTCCTTCCACTCCCTCCTCTCCTCCTTCCACTCCCCTCCTCTCCCCTCCTCACCTCATCTCTCCACTCCCCTCCTCCCTCTCCACTCCCCTCCTCTCCCTCCTCTCTCCTCCTCTCCCTCCACTCCTCTCCTCTCCCTCCACTCCCCTCCTCTCCCTCCACTCCCCTCCTCTCCCTCCTCTCCCTCCACTCCCCTCGTCTCCCTCCACTCCCCTCCTCTCCCTCCACTCCCCTCCTCTCCCTCCTCTCTCCTCCTCTCCCTCCACTCCCCTCGTCTCCCTCCTCTCCCCTCCTCTCCCTCCACTCCCCTCCCTTCCCTCCACTCCCCTCCTTTCCCGTCACTCCCCTTCAGTCCTCCCTCCAACCTGCTTCCCTCCTCCTTCCAACTTCCCTCGTCTTTCCTTCTCTCTCGCATGTGTCCACTCGCCTGCCATATCCTGCTCTACCTCTTCTTCCACGGCATCACCACACCGCCTCCACCAACACTACTGCATGCAATCGTGCAACCAACCAATGAGTTCTGTGCGTCTCCTAGAGCTCACTCACACACACGTTATCTTCTGCCGTGTGTGTGTGCGTGCGTGTGGTCGTGTGTATGTGCGCACTTTTCGATGTGCTTTCGCGCGTGTGCCTGTGTTGATGTGCGTGTGTGTGTGCAACAGGCGAGTTCTCTTCACCCCTCAGCTTCAAAAAGTTTCCTCTTGACTCTCAGGTGGGTCTCTCACATATATCCTCTTGTCCCGCACTCGCTCTCTCACTCCCACCCCTTTGAACTGACACGCACACACGCACGCATCCACACACAGACAAGTGAATAGGGACAAAACACTGACACCCCCTCCTCTTTCCCGCATCACAACCACATCCCTCCCTCCGCCCCTACCCCGCCCCTCCTGCATGGCACACACGGCAGACGCTGCGGCTGAGCATTCAGGTGGAGAGCGGCGAGTTCTACCTTGTGGGGAGCAATTCAGGGCGGGAGTCGGAGCAGGGGGGCGGGAACCTGGGGGGAGGGGGAGGCACGTACGTGAATGATGAGGTCACGGGCTGGAAGATCAACGACGTGGGCCTCAACTGCACTCCCTCCCAAACCACCGTCTCCACCTCCGCCACCTACCATCCCGGTAACCACCTCTTCTCTCCCGGTAACCACCTCTTCTCTCCCGGTAACCACCTCCGCCACCTACGCTCCTTGTAGTCACCACCGCTGCTTACTCTCCTGGCAACCATGGGCACTTACCATGACCATCCCCACTCATTACTACTTGTTTCTTCAACTTCATCACTGAGCTGCATGTCCGGTGCCATGCGTGCTGCCATGCATGTTGTCACGCGTGCTGCCATGCATGTTGTCACGCGTGCTGCCATGCATGTTGTCACGCGTGCTGCCATGCATGTTGTCACGCGTGCTGCCATGCATGTTGTCACGCGTGCTGCCATGCATGTTGTCACGCGTGCTGCCATGCATGTTGTCACGCGTGCTGCCATGCATGTTGTCACGCGTGCTGCCATGCATGTTGTCACGCGTGCTGCCATGCATGTTGTCACGCGTGCTGCCATGCATGTTGTCACGCGTGCTGCCATGCATGCTGTCACGCGTGCTGCCATGTACGTTTGGCTGTGCAGATGACCCCTGGTACACGTTCAATCAAAACTCTCCGTCAGACAGTGGCAGCAGCAGCAGCAACGTGAACGAGTCCACATCGTGTGTGTTCACCATCCAGATCTCGCGCACCAGTGGCGTCTTCATCATCTCGGTGTGCCTCTCTCTCCCCACGCCTCTCACTCGCCAATTCCTTCCATGTCACCATCACCGTCGCCATCCCCATCACCATCACCATCCCCATCCCCATGCCATCCCCATTGCGATTGCCATCACCATCTTTATCTCATATCTCCATTTTAGTCGCAACCAATGCCTGTGCCTTGCATCTCTGGCGTCTACAAGTGGTCATCCCTTGCACGTGTGCCCCCCTCCCATCCCTGTCAGATCATGGTGCCTGTGACGCTGAGCGTGTATCTCTGCTTCTCCGTGTTCTTCGCTCGCCCCGACGACCTTGAGACTCGATCCGCCACCTTTGTCACGCTTTTCCTTGCCCTTGCAGCCGTGCAGTTCGTTATGGACAGCCAGGTGGGTGATTGACTGGGTTCCTGGGTGGATGGGTGGATGGGTGGATGGGTGTGTGGGTGCGTGGGTGCGTGGGTGGGTTAATGGGTGGGTGGGTGAGGCCTCGCATCGCCTTCCATCTCCATTCGCACAGGGTGTACACAGTGGATACGTCACACCTCAAATGCAGTCTCAATTAACGCATTTCTCTCTCCTCCCCCCCTCTGACCCCCTTCCTCGGCCCCTATCCTTGTTGCTCCGTTCCCCCTCCCTCCCCCACCACCCCTCCATGCAGCTGCCGCGCTCATCAGTGATGACGCAGTTTGGCTATCTGGTCATCATCTCATACGTCTTCATCTCGCTCACCGCCCTCGAAACCCTTATTGTCTACGTCATTGCCGAACGGGTCAGTCACCCCTGCCCTGCCGTGCCCTGCCCTGCCCTACCTCTCTTCATCTGCCACCTGCTGCCAGCCTCCTCTGTGCCTTGCCTTGTTTGACGGTTGCTTACTTGTGATCTTTCTCTTTTCGTCACTGCACTTGCTTGCTTGCTGTGTGCTGCTGTGTGCTTCGTGCTGCTGTGTGCTGCTGTGTGCGGCTCTGTGCCGCTCTGTGCTGCTCTGTGCCTCTCTGTGCCGCTCTGTGCCGCTCTGTGCCGCCCTGTGCCGCCCTGCGTTGCTCTGTGTCGCTCTGTGCCGCTCTGTGCCGCTCTATGCCGCTGTGCCGCTCTGTGCCGCACTGTGCCGCTGTGTGCCGCTGTGTGCCGCTGTGTGCCGATCTGTGCCGCGCTGTGCCGCTGTGTGGCGCCGTGTGCAGCTGGAGAAGGATGTGGTTGAGACCGTGGGGGACATGGCGGCGGCAGCCACACGCACCTCGTGGAACTCCCGTACTGAGCCAGAGGCCGAAAGCCCACCCAAGGTGGAGAGTGCGTGTGCGGTTGTCTCCAGCAAGGCTGAAGGCACAGGGGAGGAGAGTCAGGAGCTGTGTCTGGTGCTGACAGATGAGGATGATGAGGAGGTGGGGGACACCAAGAGTGCAGCCTGCAGTGGGGGAGGAGAGAAGCCCCTAGCGGCCTGCCTGAACCCCGAAAAGCCGCCACTTCAGAGAGCGGAGGGCCCTACCTGGGTGAGTGGGCGTGCGTGTGTGTGGTAGGTGGGAGATGTGCTTGTTTGGTTGGTTATCGTTTTGATGCAAGGCATGTGGAGCTACGATGTGCTTTCTTGGGGGTGTTGACGTGCCCTGTCCATGGTCCCGTAGTTTGGTGTGTGCCCTGTTGTACATCGCATTCTCTCTCACCCTGCAGCAACTTTTGATCTTGCGTGCTCATTTGTTGTGAACTTTGCCTGTACCGTATCTTTCCTGTTTCTACCGTATCTTGATACAGAAATTTAGCCTTTTCGGGTACCACCTCAAGCCTGCCGACGAGGAGCACGCTGGTGAAGGCAACTACACTCTCGCATCTAGGATTGACTTCGTGTGCTGTGTTCTCTTCTTCCTTGGCTACACTCTCACTGTCATTCTGCTCTACACTCTCTAGATGTGTGCGTCCTTCTATTCTGGATCTTGATCGTCAGTCAACTTGTTGCCATGTACCGTAATTATCCGTGTAATGAATGGACCCCCCAGAATTATAGACCTCAGGTCAGGGAGGAAGGGGGGGGGGGGGTGAGGGGGCGTGTTGGTTTAATGTCGAGGAGTGAACTGTTCTGAATGGATTTTACGGTAGAATGAGGGTTGCACATGAGTACCATAATACTAATGAGAGAAGTTGTAACACAAGAAAAATGCACACCGGTACATGGCAACAAGTTGACTGACAATCAAGATCCAAAATAGAAAGATGCGCATCTAGAGAGTGTAGAGAAGAATGACAGTGAGAGTGTAGCCCAGGAAGAAGAGAGTACAGCACACAAAGTCAATTCTGGCTGCAAGAAGATAGTTGCCTGACTTGGCATGCTCTTCGTCAACGGGCTTGAGATGGTACCCAAAGAGGCTGAAGTTCTGTACAGTATAAGCGAGAGACAAATACAAACAGAAATCACAACAAATGAGCACGCAATTTTCGACAACCAGGTTCGGGCCCTGTGTCCTACAACCAGGTTCGGGCCCTGTGTGGATAAGTGAGGTCCTTCAGTTGCTCCTGGCTCTTACCACTCTTTCCGTGTGCCCCTCATGATGTGTCTCTCTCTCGCTCTAGCTGTGGCCACTCGTAGTAAAGATCGCACCAAATATGGTGATTGTACCACTTGCGACTGATTGTTGACATCACCAACAAGGTGCATCTGACGCTCCCACGGGAAGCACTAACTATCATAGTCCACATAAAAGAAACAACATTTGGCCCTCAGAGGGGGCAGCGGCAAAGGTCATTCCAGGCAGCTAAATACTGATCCAACCAGTCACTTGACTGGTGGAGTGGAATAGTACTCACAGCAGGCCACAAGTCTGGTAAGCTCCCACTAGCAGGCTAGCATGCGACAGTGGATGCTCCTGAGGCAAAATGCTCCAGGGAGGAAGTCAGGCTCTACAGGAGGCTGAGAGCAAGCAGAGCAGCGGAGGTGGCAAGGACAATGGCAGCTGAGAGTGCTGCCGGGAGCGGAGAGAGGGAGTGGGTGGCCCCACTGGAAACAGGCGAGGGTGGTGGAGGCGGGGAGGGTGGCGGCAGCAGAGGCTCAGCTCCACCTGTTGGGATGAGCGGGAAGGGAAGTGAGGGGAGAGGAGAGGAGAGGAGAGGAGAGGAGAGGAGAGGAGAGGAGAGGAGAGGAGAGGAGAGGAGAGGAGAGGAGAGGAGAGGAGAGGAGATGAGAGGAGAGGAGAGGAGGGGAGAGGAGAGGGGAGAAGTGAGGAGGGAAGCAGCAGAAAGGGGTGTGAGGCAAGTGAGGAAATATCGAGCAAGAAGCACGCAGCAGAAGATAACAAGCATGGGTCGAAAGGAAATGGGGCAGCATGCAGACAATGGGCAAGCACCCGTGCACTGCACATGGATTTGGGTACTTTTCTTTTGCGTGGACAGAGATTTGTTGTGTATGCCTGTTGCAAGTGAGCGATTTGACTGCTTTCAAACCACAGCAAAAGCAAGTGGAGGAGAGGGGATGTCCAAAGAAAGCAGTGCTGAGAAATCTAACAAGACAAAGTAAGGGCGACGCAAGGGACAAGGGGTGGGTGTGTGTGCTGAGAGATGGAAGGGGCAGGCATATGTTTGGGCAGGGTGAGCAGCAGCTTACAGTGAGGGGCGTCCATCCATCCTGCAATTCCGTTGTCGTAGTCGAGGAAGAGGTACTTGTTGAACAGCCCTGGCTCTGCTCATTGCCACATGCATGCAGAGCAGTGGAGGCAGTGAGAAACGGGAGTGGTGTGTTTGGCGGCAGGGAAGCGGGACAGGCAAGGGCAAAGAGCAACGAAAATATGAATGCCAATCCGCCCTCCTGCTTGCGGGCTGCAGGGTAAAGATGGTCACATTCGCCGCACCCAACCACAGTCACTTTAAACGTCTGGTTGCAGGAGTCACTTCACAGACTCTCCTCCCCAGAAGTCGCGTGCAGCAACGAGTTTCTTGCTTGGGCAAGTTCTCGGCTTGCATCGGCTGGTAGGCGGAAGGAAGGAGTATTGAGGGGAGTGGAGTGGAGTGGAGTGGAGTGGAGTGGAGTGGAGTGGAGTGGAGTGGAGAGGGTGGTGGATGGCAGAGGATGGCCAGCACAGCACGGCACAGCGGTAGGTCGGTGGGGAAGGGGAAGGAAGAGAGCTAGCAGAAGCTTACTTCGGAATAGTTTTTTCAAAACGGACGCGGATATTGCTGGCAGAAACTTAGGCAGAGAAAGGAGTGCAAATGTGCGGTAGGTAACCCTGTTGTGCATTAGGTACCCTCATACCTCCAATCAAGCTGACATATTTTTTATCGGGAAAAACCCAGTTGGCCAAGACGCAATATTCAGAAGCCGAAACCTGTGGGGGCCGCATGGGAGTGAGGAAGAGCGTTGATGAGTGGCACAGGGGGGTCGTCAGTTGCCCAAGCGACAGCCACTGAGCGACTGAGCAACTGAGCAACTGAGCGACTGAGCAACTGAGCAACTGAGCAACTGAGCAACTGAGCGACTGAGCAACTGAGCGACTGAGCAACTGAGCAACTGAGCGACTGAGCAACTGAGCGACTGAGCGACTGAGCAACTGAGCAACTGAGCAACTGAGCAACTGAGCAACTGAGCGACTGAGAAACTGAGCGACTGAGCAACTGAGCAACTGAGCAACTGAGCAACTGAGCGACTGAGCGACTGAGCAACTGAGCAACTGAGCAACTGAGCAACTGAGCGACTGAGCAACTGAGCGACTGAGCAACTGAGCGAGCTCATTCAAAGGCTCTGACAAGGAGACTCAGGGGCCAGTTAGGGCTCAGATGGCACGGAGGAGTGGAGCATGGAGAGAGCACAGGAATGAGCCGATCGCGTGGATGTGGGTTGAGAGGACGGGAAAAGGGAGAGAAGGGACGAGAGGGAAGAGAGAGAGGGAGTATTCAAGACGAGAACGGAAAGGGAGAAGGCAGGGAGAGGGCAGCGGAGAGGGGAGGGGAAAGAGGAGAGCATGTGGGTGGGAGCTGAAACATGATCTCCATGTTCGTCCTGCTCTGGCATCCGATTGGCTGAACTGATATGTACGGAAGTTGAGACTGATGATAGACGGTTTCTGTGATAAACGAGACCTTTACAAGGGCCGGTGACTGACTGAGACCTGTGAATGGATGCAAGGAGCCTGTGAATGAATGTCAAGCATGCGTGCTATACCTGGGCGAGGTACTCGTGAGGCTTGAGATAGAAGTGGGAGGTGGCGCTGGTGTCGCTAAGATTGAGGAAAGCAATGTCGATGGTGGGGAAGGTGGTGAACGGGTCGACAGACTTGTTCTTGTTCCTGCGAGGGAGCATTGTTGTGTGAGCGAGCAAAGGAGAAAGTGAGACAGTGAGGTCAGGGGATTGAGTGGAGCAGGGCTCAGAGAGGATAAACTAGAATAGAAAAACCACTCACTATCACAACCAAAGTCAGTGGTTTAAAAGAGCATGCAGAGGTGTGGGTGAGCCAGTGTGAAGTGAAGTGGTGGTCACTAAGTTGGACCGACAAGGTTATATGTTGGGCAGTACCGCGGGTACCGTTGGGCAGTTTTGAGAATTCTCAAAAGCGGGTACCGTTGGGCTGTACCGACAAGGTTACATTGACGAGATGATCACGCTGCCTTCCTGAGCAAAAACTCCCGTCGACCTCGGCAGCCTACTGAGGCCAACGGACGAAGCACAGACGTGCAGGCTTTGCTAGGCCCACCCACACTGTGCACTTCCTCGCCTCGCATTACTGCACGCCTGCTCGCCAACCCCTGCCACTCATCAAGCACTCTCACGGTCTCGTCCCTGCCATTCACCAGAGGGCGTGACCCTTCTCTCTCCATGGGCTGTTCCATGCATGCTTCTCCAGGCTCTATAACGTGTCTATGGTTTGCCTAGTACCGGCAATCAAGGCAGAGGCGTTGCATACATTTGTAAGTTCTTCCCCAGCAGAATCAGGGCACTACTAGGGTGCTAAAGTCATAACAGAGCCAGCAAAGATAGCTTCCGAGAATTCGCAGGTGTACCTTTGGGGTTCCTTGTTGGGCAAAACGATCTGCTCTGCCCTATCAGGGCTGGACTAGGACGCAAAGACTCAGGATCTTCAGTGGTAGACTCAGCAAACACTGGCCTTGGACGCACACACTCATGCGTACACGAAAGCAGATAGAGCGTGCGCACACAAACTAGCTACAAATCCATTCCATTCTGGTACTTCTGAGTCGATTCAAATGTCAAATCCATTCCATTCTGGTACTTCTGAGTCGATTCAAATGTCAAATCCATTCCATTCTGGTACTTCTGAGTCGATTCAAATGTCAAAGCCATTCCATTCTGAGACCCTAAGACCTGGGTAGAACCATTCCAGGCTCCCAGGTGGCTTAATGGTTCACAGACCCGAAGGCATGCTAAAACTGAACGGATCGTGTCGCCTCCTTTCCCCTGGCTGTGGACTTGCACAGCTGGCGGACCCACTGCCTTTTCTGGCCATGCAACCTGCCGCTGGCTGGCTCACCAGACCTGACGAGCTTTTATTTGGGCTCTGGCAGCAGGTGATGCACTTGGGCGGGCGCCTACGTGCCTCAAGTGATCCTCCCTCCCGCAGAGGTTAAATGAGTATGGCTCTCTCAACCTTGCAGTCGCAGCATGTTCTCCCAGGTTCCTTTCGCAGTGAGGATCGCTTGGGGGCGAACAGGCAGGCAGCTGGTGCGTTGTGCACGGAGGTGGCACATGGAAGGTCGACAGGAGCTCAATGGATTGATGGGAAAAACAGAACGTAGCAACTCACTTGAAGCATGGAAGCTGATAATAAGTACTTGTTGCAGCAGCGGAAAAGATGTTGCCTGTCATGGCTTGGAGCTGAAAACGTGCACATGCACATGCGTAGGAGGGGACAACGAGAATTGGATCCGTGCATGAGGAAGCAGGCACATGAGGAAGCAGGCACATGAACAGCCTGAGAGCGATGCTCCCACCTCACAAAAAAAAAAAACAAGACTTGTTGCACTAGAGCCAAGTCAACCACGTCCGAACCTGCTAAGCCGGAAGCCAGGCCAATTAAAAATATGTAAGAAACCAGACTTGTGCCACCATGACAATGATGTCATGTCACCCCCGGCTCCGTTGGTCCAAATCCGAGCAGCACGGAACAAGTCCGTCCATTGCTGGATGACTTGTGCGCTGGCTTTCTCACCCATGTGGCTACGCCTCTTTTGAGCCAACTCCAAAACCTGGTTCGCTTATGTAAAGAGCTCTTACAAGCCTAACAGAGCGAGAGCATACCATACCAGTCCTGGCAACAAGGACGCATAGAAGCAGCGGGAAACTGTGCCAGTTTCACTCACTAGTTCGGCTTGTCCGGGCTTCCAGACATGCAGGCAAGCACAGGGTGAGGTGAGGTGAGGTGAGGAGAACATACCCCGTCGAGAAGGCTCATGAAGAGAGGGTAGCGCAGGAGATGCACGAAGGACTCGGGCATAAAGAGGAACCCCGGAGTGGCGTTCTCAGGAAAATTCGCCGGGGTCGTCTGTGATGTTGAGTGCGCGCTTGGGCGTGGTGAGAGTGATGTGGCTGTACTGCAGTCCGGTCCAAAAATCCCTGAGAGGAGAGAAATGCACACGGGTAACACACATGAGGTGGGTGGGTGGATGCACAGACAAATGGACATGTAGGTGGATGGGGCGTGAGAGGGCGTGAGAGGGCGTGAGAGGGTGTGAGAGGGCGTGGGAGAGCGAGAGTGGGCAGTGCAGAAACAGCAGGGGGATAACATGGTGAGGTAGGTGGTGCGTGCAGGGAGTGAAGGAGAGCAAGGGAGGGGGCGTCGTTCAGCAGGAATGACTAGACTCGTTCAGAGCCGGGGGGATTACATGCGCAAGTAGCTGGCGCTGGCAGGGAGAGAAAGAGAGCGAGGAGGGGCATGGAGCAGGAGGAGGGAGATCAGAAGGTGGCATAGCTGGTGCCGGCAGGGAGAGAAAGAGAGAAAGGGAGGGCGTGGAGCAGGAGGAGGGAGATTAGAAGGCGGCATAGCTGGTGCCGGCAGGGAGAGAAAGAGAGAAAGGGAGGGCGTGGAGCAGGAGGAGGGAGATTAGAAGGCGGCATAGCTGGTGCCGGCAGGGAGAGAAAGAGAGCGAGGGAGCAGGTGGGAAGCGAGTGAGAGGGAGCAAGGGAGGGCGTGAAGCAGCAGGGGGGAGGGGGGGTTACATGGTGGCGTAGCTGGCGCCGGCAGGGAGAGAAAGAGAGCGAGGGAGAACATAGAGCAGGTGCATAGTGATTATCATTACATGGTAGCGTAGCTGGCGCCGGCAGGGAGGCCGGTGGCTCCGATGGTGAGATGGCTGCTGCCTGTCTGCAGCGGCAGCTCGCCATCCCACCCCGTCTCGTTCGTGGGTGTGGCCTCCAGACACACCGCCAAGGTGCGCGTGCTATTCGCGCCGGTGAGCTGCCAGAGGAAGGTGCTGGACCACCCCAGCCCCAGCACGCCTCCTGCTGCCCACGAGCCGTACTGCCACCCCTGCATGCCCCAGTAGCCTTGCTGGTTCACTCCACAGCTGGGGGGGGGGGGGGGGGGGGCAATGGGGAGGGAGAGAGAGCAGGAGAGTGAGGGACAGCACCAAGGGGGAGGTGAGATTTTCGAGATAACTTGTGGGAGTAGTGGTAAGGACAAGGAGACACTCACCCAAGAGTGATGGATCGGTTGACTTCGGTACCGTCAGGTGCAGTGAGGTAGACCGTGTCCTGCATCACATGCCCCACTGACTCAAGGTACGGCCCTGTTCCGTTGTTAGCTTTATAGTCCCCTTCATAGTAATCGTAGCTTCCTGACTGCGCATCGTACACGCAGAGAGCGTCGTCCCCAGGCAGCAGGCCCGTGATGTTGAGGTAGTTGGGGAACTCTTCAGCGTTGCAGCCGTAGAAACCGAACTCAACTCCCCCCTGGCAGCTCTGGTCGGTGCAGGAGATGTACTTGAGGGTTGTTGAGGAGAGCGTGTTGAAGGGCTTGCTGTAGGTGGTCTGCGCGGCGAGGGGGAGGGAAAGGGCGACGGAGAGAGGGATTGAGAAGGAGAGTGGGAGGGAGTGGAAGCGGGAGAGTTAGAGGGAGAGGGAGCGGGAGCAGGATAGGGAGAGGGAGTGGGAGGAGAGGGAGAGGGAGAGGGAGCGGGAGCGGGAGAGGGGAGGGAGTGGGAGGAGAGGGAGAGGGAGAGGTGTTGGTGGGACACTGGAATTGTTCCCCAGTTGAATGTGGGAGGGCTACAGGTGCGACCTGGAGGGTTATGGGTGTGCGATCCACCATACGAAGATGCTCTTTTAACCCAGTTGGTAGCAGGCTACGAGAGGGTGAAGGAAAGAGGGCCAGCGGAGGGGAGGGAGGGAAACGTGTGATGCGGCTACAGCGGAACGGTGTGCTGTAGTCAGTCTGGAGCGAAAGGGAGGGGGGCCAGAAGGAGTTGTGGCGGGAGTGGGGATGGGGATGGGGTGATGGGTGGGTGTTTGAGGTGAGGAATTAGTTATGTGCTGTTAGCAGAAAAGAAAATGCAGAAGGCGGGGTAAGCACAAGGGGAGGGGGTAAGCAGTAGGGGGTAAACACAAGTGGGTAAGCACAAGCGGTAAGCAGAAGAGGGGAACAAACAGTTTGTGACTCGATTGCAACCCTCCACATAATGGCCGGCCCACTCCGCTTCTCACACTCGCTCCCTCTCGCCCTCACTATCGCCAATCTCACTCATTCATTCTCCTTCACTCTCATTCTCACTCTCACTGCACTTCCCCACTTCCACATCTCCACCCCCTTTTCGCCCCCGCATCCCCGCCTGGGCGTGCGCAGGAAGAGAGAGCGGAGGGCGGAGCCGCACGCACCCCCTTGCGCATGGAGCCGCATTGCAGACAGTCGCAGGGCACGAAGGTGTGCGGCAGGAACAGGTTGAGCGCCATGCTGAACTCCTGCTTCCTCGACCCCAGCTTGAGGTTCACGTAGTACGGATACACGCTGGTGGGGGGAGGCATGCGACGGAGGGTGGAGGAGAGGGGTTGATGGAGGAAGACCAAAAAGGGGTGAAAGGACACAGAGGGGGGAGGTCGAAGGGAAACAGCGAGTGGCCTGCAGCGAGTGGCCTGCAGTGAGAGGGGCACGGTGCGGAGCATACGGGAGGCGGATCTGGTTGTCATCGATGGTGGTGCTGTAGTTGACCATGGTGTTGCCCATTGTGCCGTTGGCCGTTGAGACCAGCGTGCTGTCGTAATTCAGCATTGGCAGAAGATACCCCTTTGTCTGCAAGAAATCAACCAGGTAAGACAGCCCAAGTGAGACGAGACAAATTCTGAGGCGCCAAAGAAAAACAATGGCAAAGGATATCCCCCTTGCCTGCAAACAAGGTAGGTAGAACAATCAACAGATGGACGCAGAAACGATCCGGACAGAGAGGCTTGACAGGCTTCCAGATGAGGCAGGTGGGAGGTTTCGTGTAACAACAACTTGTTATCTGAGGGTTGAGTTCAGTGCCTGAGAACGGGCGAATGCAACGGCAGCATGGTCAAATGTCACCTGCCACCTCACGTGCCACCTCACTTGCCACCTCACGTGCCACGTCACGTGCCACCTCACTTGCCACCTCACTTGCCACCTCACTTGCCACCTCACTTGCCACCTCACTTGCCACCTCACTTGCCACCGTTTCACAAACAGTTGCCTGAGGTCACACTACTAGTCTGGTAAAATAGCAGCAGCGGCAGGGCCGTCCTGTGAGTGAGCGCTGACTCACATTCGCCCTGAGTGACTCTCCTTCGCCCTTCAAGCCGCCTCCCACGCCGCCCTGCGCATGCCACGGATTTGTGGGGGAGAATTAGGCATCAGGCCACTGCACGTCCCCAAAGGGCACCACATGCATTGTACGATTGAAAGCCCAGGTTATGAGATAACTGCACTCAACGGCATGGGGAGACACGTGGGCGCATCTCAATCGAAAAAGAAACAGCGAAGCTACAGCAGCTAAGCATAAGTGTCGACGGCCATGCAACGGCATAGAGGGAGGCATGACATTTATAGGGGTCTGCTCCCTGCACCCTCCACTCCACCCCCACAATCTCCAAAGATGTTCGGCCCTCTTACAATGTTCAAACACATATATACATATTTATATACATATATATATATATACAAATATACATACCATTTACAATGACGCTACATATGTTGAGACATAGTATACGTCCCTCCAAATTTTTGGAGGCACTCACAGAGGGCGCGAGGATCCGCCGGTGTATCTCATCCCTGCTGGGGGCGTCTTCCGCGCGCTGCAGGGGGAAGAAGTGCGCGCCCGCTTCCGCTGATCGCCGCTGCCACTCCGCAATCAACTCCGCGCCGTCGCTCCCCACGCCCGTCGTGCGGGCTGCCCCCCCTCCGCCGCTGCTGCTAGCAGAGGGGTCACCATGATGCCGGCGTCCTCCGGATGCCTCGACCTATCATCGGATCGCCGTGAGAGCGAGGGGAGAGGGGGCAGAGTCGGGAGGGAGGAGAAAGTGGGAGGGAGTGTCACCACGCGAGCAATCATTGGACATTATCTAATAACCCTCACAACCCAATACCAGCGATGCCTGCGCCTCGTGTGATGCAGTACTAGTACTACTACCTCGCCGGCTATAACAGCCTCGCTACCCACTGGGTCAAAACGAGTATGTTATTCAGGCGCAGCGGATGCCCTTAACACTAGCTCAGCCCACAGGCGTTACATCGGATGACTGCGAGTCGAACTGCCCTTGATGAGAAACAACGGCATCCCCGCCGGCGGGACTGCTCCGGTAATGCGGAACATCATTCGCAACGGCTACCTCGGGGCCGTGGCGCGCGTGGATTTGCAAGACACTGAGGGAGAGGAGCACGAGCGGCAGCAGACGCGAGGGGGCGCCACGGCACGAAAAAGCCATGGTAATTTTACCAGCCGCGTAGAGGGTTTGCAAGGGTCACGGAAGGGAGTGCAAACGTGACGAGAAAAATGCTGGTGCGATGAGGGCAGGGTGTAGAAACATAGTCGATACTTGGAGTGTCTTTCGAGGGTAATGGGTTGGGGCAATGTGGATTGGCACGTGACGAGCGTGCCATTGACAACATTACTCTCGTGATGGACTTTCTGGCCTGGCTTTGAGGAGATTCGGCACATGTAGCACGACTTACTCCTAAGCTGGCGGCTGGTCGAGTACAGGCCGATGTATTACGGCTCAACGTGGAGATTCGTTCCTTCCGAACCAGTCTGTGCATTCAATTCGATACTTTGGTGCGGTGCGACGCTTGCGCTGGCAGCTAGGCAAATACTGTATATGAAAATTTTAGACCTGGGATGGATGGACTGACTGGAAGTGGCAGCGCCGACAATCCGTCAGCACGAGGAAACCCCAGTTGCAGACATCACGAGTTCCTCGTTCCAGCGCGAGGCTCACCCGTGTGAATCCCATTCAAACAATTGGTTTCCATTTTTTAGACGGGAAAATCGGGTTACCCTACATATTGGAGCTGAGCTCGTGCCTCGAGCGTCGATTATGCCACGTCCTAAATCGCGTTACGTTTCCAGGAACCGAGCCTCCTCTCGAGCGGGAGGCTCAATCCACAATTGGAATTCCAATTTCTGAATGAAAAGTTCGGGGTCTTCTTTGTGGGCTCGAGCCCCAAGACGATATTTGAGCCCAATGTACCACGGCCTAATACCTACCCTTATTTCCCGAACGACGACGTCTCTATTGCAGGGGAGCTTGAACAGAAATGTGGGAAGTACTGTACTGACGAGGCAAAACACGAAAATACTGACGAGGCGAAACGCGAAAATACTGACGAGGCGAAACGCGAAAATACTGACGAGGCAAAACGCGAAAATACTGACGAGGCAAAGCACGATAAGCTTCACGAGTTTCCGTTTCCACGACATCTCCGTCGGCCCGTAGAATGGCACCATTATTACAGGCTGTCAGTCAGCTGTACAGTACATTACTAGTAGGCCCTCACACCTCCTTGTACAGTACAGTACACGCCACTGAGACCCCTTCGACCTGCATTGAGCAATAAGTCAGCTACGAATTCTTTAGAAAGCTCTCCCTTTGACTTTCCGGACATCCCGTCACGTTGAAACTCGAATAGAGCAGGGGGGCGCGACTCGGCAGTACTATGGGCTACATGGCTAGGAAGGATCGAGACGAGACTTCCGCGCCTGCTCGTGTCGCTCCTGCTCCTCTCCCTCAGTGTCTTGCGAATCCACGCGCGCCACGGCCCCGAGATGGCCGTTGCGGGCGTTCAACATGAATTCCTGAGCAGCCCCGCCGGGAATGCCGCACATTCTTACCAGTTACTGGACTCGCAGTCACCCGAGGTACAGCTTGTAGCGACATCACACGATCCCAGCCGTTGCTAGTAGCATCGCTGGGATGGGGTGACTTTTGAGTCGACTCAAATGTCACCTCTCTGGGATGGTGGCTCACATCCTGGGGACGCAGCATGTGGCGCTTTCTCTATCAGACGGCGCGAGGAACCCTGGGACCACACAGCATGTGGGACCACACCAAACTGTTTCTGGTGCTTTGAATACTATACTACTATTCTGTAGTACAGTCTACCAGCCTCAGTTATGCGGAAATTGGTCTGGCTTTTAACAACTCCGACGCGTCCTCTCAGTTTTCTGTGCATGTACCAACCTTTCTCTCCCTTTCACTCCCTCTCCCTCTCCTCCTCCCTTCTCTACCCCCCTCTCCCCTCCTTCTCACGGCGAGTCATCGCAGGTCGGAACATCTGAACGGCGCCAGCATCCCTCTGTCAGCAGCAGCGGCGGAGGGCGGGCGGCCAGCACGACGGGCGCCGGGAGCGACGGCGCGGAGTCGATTGCGGAGTGGAAGCGGCGATCAGCGGAAGCGGGCGCGCACTTCTTCCCCCTGCAGCGCGCCGAGGACGCCCCCAGCAGCCTGAGGGACGAGCTGCGCCGCCGGATTCTCGCGTCCAGAGTGAGGAGGGAAGGGGCCGCGAGCAGGGCGTTGCTGCTTGACCATGCTTGAGACGTCTCAAGACATTCTAGTAGTTAGGAGGAGGCAGTATCATGTCACAAGATTGCTCGCTCATGACGCGTCACGTCACGTAGCTCCGAGTTTGAGACGTCTCAATCAAAGCTGGGGCCGACCGGAGGCGGGCGTTGCTGGCTGCTTTTAATACGTCAGTCACGGCGATAGGCGTCCGTCCGTCCCTTTACGTCGCGCGGGTCGTATGAGGAGACACAGTATAGCACTGAGTAGACAGCCGTATGATTAGCCTCTGCCGATTCGCTTCATTGTGTCTTTCGCGACTGAGATGCACCCGCGTGAGTCTCCTCATGGCTTGCTTCTTCCTTCCCTCTCACAATCCCGTGGCATGCGCAGGGCGTTGGGGGCGGCTTGAGGGGCAAAGGAGAGGCAGGCAAGGCATCGGAAGTGAGTCAGCTTCTATTACCTTGTTGTATCTTGCCGCGTAGCGGACCTTCCACCTGCCTGTGCGGCTAGTCTGCCTCGTTGCTTGCGTGCAGACAACGGGGAGATTTCTTTTGCCGTTGTTGCCACCTCGGAAATCCGTCGCTCACATGGGCTGTCTGTCCCACCACCTACCTGCTTGCTGCATGCTTGCGTGCATCACTGCTTGCGTGCATCACTGCTTGCGTGCAGACAACGTGGTTTCCGCTGCCAATGAAGGAGTACGACAGCACGCTGGTCTCAACGGCCAACGGCACAATGGGCAACACCATGGTCAACTACAGCACCTTCGCCGGCGGCAACGACAAGATCCGCCTCCCGTATGCATGCGCCAGCGTCGTGCAGTGCAGTTACGGGCGAAATGCCTCTCACTCGCTGCATCCCCCTCGCTGCATGCCACTCACATACTCTCAAAACTCACTCTCTCACAACGCCCGCAGCAACTCTCTCGCACCCCTCTGGGTCATCCCTCGTCCCACAATAGGCGCACGGTCCCATGCTCCCACCTCTCGCCGACCCCCACTTCCACCTCCTTCCTTTTGTGACCTCCCCCTTCTCCCCCTTCCCCTCCCCCCACCAGCGTGTACCCGTACTACGTGAATCTCAAGCTGGGGTCGCAGAAGCAGGAGTTCAGCATGGCGCTCAACCTGTTCCTGCCGCACACCTTTGTGCCCTGCAACTGTCTGCAATGCGGCTCCATGCGCAAGGGGGTGCGTGGGGTTCCGCCCTCCCCACACTCCTCCCGCGCGGGGGAGTGCGGAGCTCGAATGAGAGTGAGGAGAGTGAATGAGTGAGAATGTGAGAGTGTAACGCCTGTGAGAATGTTAAAGCTCGCGTCTCATATTTCCAACCGTTTAACGCTTGGTTGGGTTTGCTTGACTGTGATTGGGCAACGAAAACGAAATATTTGACGAGTGGGTGAAAAAATCACAGCGAAGTACCAAAACAGTCGAGGCCAAAACAAACCAGGGTGGGTTGGTTTGGGTGGAAAATGAGCCAAGGGGGACAGGTTCGGTCCCCCCTTCTGTCAACGTTGAGTTTCAGAGTCTCATATTTTCGGAAGTTGTAAACGCTTGGTGTGCACGGGAAGTGTGCGACAGCCAACTTTCCCAAACCACCCCTTGCTTTGGTGTGCTTTGCGACAAACTTTGCTGTTACCAAATTCCAACCGTTTAACACTTGGTTGGGTAGCAGAAATATGAGACGCGAGCTTTAAGGGCATTCCGCTGCGCCTAAATAACACCCTCGTTTTGACCCTGAGGGTAGCGAGGCGTTATACTGGTACCAGAGCCTAGGGTTCAATTCACGACTGGTCTACATTGTCTGCTGTGATCGAGACCTGGAATGTGGTGATCCAGTTGCGAACCCAGTGAATGGTCCTGGAATGAAGTCCCTGCGGGGGGCGACTTCCTGAAGTTGAGGGCCAACGGGGGCGTTGGCACCAGGGGGAGATGAGTGTAACGCCTGTGGGTTGTGTTAAGGGCGTTCCGCTGCGCCTAAATAACACCCTCGTTTTGTCCCAGTGGGTAGCGGGGCGTTATAGAGAGTGTGAGAGTGTGAGGACTTAGAGGGTCGCTGAGTGGAAGTTCAATTAAGCCCGTCCTGTCCATGAGTGTCATTCCGTGGAGGTTCCTCTTGTCTTTTTGTTCGCTTGCTTTTATCTTTCTCTGCGGTGCAGTGCGGGTTGCGATCGAGTCTGAGCTATGACTCCGTTCCTCGTCCTCACCCCTTTTGCTTCCTCCACCCACCCCCTTTTCATTTCCTTTCCTTCTTTCCTCACGTCACCCCCTTTTCTGGCTGATGGATTCCTTATGACCTGCTGAAGATGAATGTTTCCGCCTTTAGCTCTCTCTCCCATTGCCCTCTCAGAGCACACATGTGAATCCACTCATTCTTTTTTTCTGTTTCCGCTACAACAGCACATAAATCTAGCCTCACTTTCCCTCCCCTCCCGTCCCCACCCATCACCCCATCCCCTTCCCCACCGTCACCACAACGCCTTCTGCCCCTCTCCCTCCCCTTGCACACTGACTACAGCAAGCCACCCATTTCGAGCCTCACGTTCCCCTCCTTCCTATCCCTTTTCGTATCCCTTTCTCTCTCCTTCGCCCTCTCCCTCTCCCTACCCCTTCTCTCTCCCTCGCCCTCTTCCTCTCCCTCTTTCTCTCCCTCGCCCCGCAGACCACCTACAGCAAGCCCTTCAGCACGCTTTCCTCCTCGACCCTTGAGTACATCTCCTGCGCCGACCAGCGCTGCCAGAAGGGTGTTGAATCCGGCTACTACGGCTGCAACACGGAGGGGCTGGCCAACTACCTCAACCTCACGGGCGTACTGCCTGGGGACGACGCTCTCTGCGTGTATGATGCGAATGCAGGAAACTACGACTACTATGAAGCGGGCTGGGAAGCTGTTGAGAACGGAACAGGATCGTACCTTGAGTCAGTGGGGCATGTGGTGCAGGACACGGTCTACCTCACTGCACCTGACGGTACCGAAGTCAACCGCTCCATCATTCTTGGGTGAGTCTCTCCTGTCATTGCCCGTCCTCTCTCCCGTGCTTCCTCCCTCAACATTGCTCTCCAATGACATGATATCTCCTCATCTCTTCCTTCACGATATTTCGAGTGCTCCTCATCTCTTCCTTCACGATATCTCGAATGCTCCTCATCTCTTCCTTCACGCTCTCTGGCCCTCTCTGCCACCCCCCTTTGCCCCCCCAGCTGTGGAGTGAATCAGATGGGTCACTGGGGCATGCAGGGGTGGCAGTACGGCTCGTGGTCAGCAGGAGGCGTGCTGGGGTTGGGGTGGAACAGCCCCTTCCTCTATCAGCTCACCTCTGCCGAAACCCCAGTGTCCTTCGCGGTGTGTTTGGAGGAGCCGACACCGACGAACAAGACGGGGTGGGATGGCAAGGTGCCGCTGCAGACAGGCAGCAGCCATCTCGTCATTGGTGCTTTCGGCCTCACTAAAGGCGCCGCCAACTACACCTACATGTAATCCCCCTCGTGAACATGGAATTCCCCTGCACACATCCATCCTTCCATCCATCCATCCATCCATCCATCCATCCATCCATCCATCCATCCATCCATCCATCCATCCATCCATCCATCCATCCATCCATCCATCCATCCATCCATCCATCCATCCATCCATCCATCCATCCATCCATCCATCCATCCATCCATCCATCCATCCATCCACCCACCCACCCATCCACCCATCCCCCAATCAACCCATCCAGAGATATAATGGCCGGTATGCAGTACAGCCACATCACACTCACCACGGCCACGCGCGCCCTCAACATCACAGACGACCCGTCCGTCGTGCCGGCGGGCTTCCCTCAGAACGCCACTCCAGGCTTCTTCTTCATGCCCGAGTCCTTCGTGCATCTCCTGCGCTACCCTCTCTTTCTCAGCCTTTGCGACGGGATACGGTCTCCTCAGTTAACCTCATCCTGTGCCTTCTTGCTAGCCTGGTGGCTGTCTGAGAGCCCGACTGACTCCATGTCATGAAAGCCATCCGAAGCGGAAGCAGTGAGTCAAGATGGCATCGTTCTCAACTTCTCACTGCTTTTGGGATTTGGGTGAACTTTGGTGACACAGATGTTTTGAAGCACAGGTCAGATGATTCACAATATCTCTCATTGCCCTGCATCTGGTGCTTGCTGTGGAGACCACGGAAATAAGGTGACAACATTTTGATTGTGAAAGCTGCTCTTGTCTCTTTATGTGCATGTGCATGTGAACGTTTGCAGATCCGAGACATGACTGGGCATGACCTTTGTAGAGAGACGAAGACTGTGAATTACTTGGGGATTCCATGCTTCAAGTGAGTTTTTGAGCTGAGCTTGGTTCCCCTCCCCCAACACCAAGTGTCACCTCCGTCCGTGCACAACGTCGCTGGTCCCTCCCTGCTCCCCCTCAAACCATCCTTGATTCTCCTTCACGCGAATGGAACCTTGAGGACATGCTGCGATTGGCTGACTGCAAGGTGAGCCGCACTGTTTCTACCTCTCTGGGAGCCTCACGTAGAGTATTTTCTTTTATTCGCTGCGTTTGGTAACTTTTTATCAAAGCTTGGTCACCCGCTATAAATCTGACATTGATCCTCAGATTTGATCAAGGTATCTCCATAATTCTTGCATACATACGTGCCGAATACATCACCTGCTGCAACCCAACCCAAAGCACGTCAGGTGGGGTTAGACAACGGCAGGTTGCATTGCCAGAAAGGAAAGAAGGCGACATAATCCGTTCAGTTCTGGCATGCCTTTTGGTCTGTGAACCATTAATCCACCTGGGAGCCTGTCAGAGGGAGATGAGGTGTTGGGCGTGCGTGGGCATGGAAAAGAATGGTACCCAAGTCATGTGGTATCGCCTGTGCGTCGCTGTGCACTCGAATCGAACTCTGTATCAGCTCTGGTCAGCGCATGCTGGAGCTTGCATCGCATCGTATCCATCCACACGGGGTCAGTGCTCTGCTCTCAGGTGCTCGTGCTCTCACACACACATGGGGGCTGCTGCTGTTTGTCAAACAATCGAAAATCATGGACTGCTTTACCCTGTTACAACAACAACCATGCTCTCTCTCTCACTTTGCAGGAACAACAACACAGCTGTGGATCCGTTCACGGCCTTCCCCACCATCGACATTGCTTTCCCCTTTATTATGAACTCCAGTCGCACCGCCCACTACTATCTCAAGCCTCGCGAGTACCTCGCTCAGGTGAACACGGCCATTTCTCCTTGCAGTACCTTGCACAACCCCCCTCTCCCCTCTCCCATCCCCCCTCTCCCATCTCCCGTCTCCCCTCTCTCCCCCCTCTCTCTCATCTTCTCTCTCCTCCTCTTCCCTCCCTCTCTCCTGGTCTCACTCCTCTCCTCTCCCCCCTCCTCATTTCCCCCCCACTACCATCTCCTCTCCCTTCTTCGATTCCCCCTCACCGCAACTCTATTCCACATTGTGGGGTCAGACCCATTCCCTTGCTTCCCATGCTGCACGCGGCCATGCCATGTCAGCCCTCCTTAGCCCCAGTCGCGCTGCCAGAGATCTAGATGAGCCCCCTGAGTTTCTGACTTGCTCACGCAGTGACTTGCTCACGCAGTGACTTGCTCACTCAGTGACTTGCTCATTTGATGCCGCTTGGCTGAATGAGACGAGACTCCCCCATGCCACTTGTCAGCTCTCTTCTCTATGGTATGGTATGCTGCCCCCACAGGTTTCACCCTCCGAGTACTGCATGTTGGTCAACTCTCTTGATCCTGGAAGCTACTACAACAGCTCCATTGGAGGTAAGAGGATTACCTAACGCACGCTTCCATTCGTTTCTCCACCTGAGCTTCTGCCAGCACCTTCCTTCCCCTGTCCCCTGTCCCCTGTCCCCACCGACCTGCTGCTGTGCCGTGCTGTGCTGCCCATCGTCTGCCACCATTCACTCCTCACAACACACCTACCAGCCGCCTGCAGCCGACGAGCCGATACAAGCTTGTTTAGATGGGCAAGGCAAGCATGGCTTCTATGCTCTTACATTATCTTTCAGGGATTCTCACCAGTAATCCTGCAAGGTGGAGATTTGATCAAGCACTCGCCAGCTCCACTGCATGTGCCTAACTAAATTCGACCTGAAGCCCACAAGCATGGCCGGATTAGCCATGGAATCATCTCTGCCCCTTTCCCTCTCTGCCTCTTGATGGCTCATGGTTACACAATTGCCCCTTTGTGTCTGCTCTTCCCGCTTCCCTGCTGCCAACACCACTCTCTTCTCTCATTGCCCTCCACTTATGTCGGTGCATGTGGTGCCGGGCTGCTGAGCAGAGCCGGGGCTGCTCGGCAGGTACCTCCTCCTGGACTACACCAATCAGTATGCAGGATGGATGTATTCCCCTCACTGTAAGCTGCTGCTCACCCTGCCCACATCGCCTGCCTGCCCTTCACATAATGATCAAAACAGCTTGCTGCGGAGTTTCTCTGTCCTCCACCTGTAGCTGTTGCTGCTGTGGTCATTCAAGCAGGCAAAATCTTTCACTTTCTGCAAAAAATATTGCATTTCCACCACAGAAACACCAAGTGATTATGTCCGGTCTGCCAGATCGCACGCAAGGCCTCTGGAAAGCGCTCTCTCCTTCCAGCCTCTGCCACCGCTGCCCTTGACACGAACTTTTGATCCTCTTCTGTCATTTGCGCCTTGCTCTACTTCCCTTTTCTGACACGAACCCCCTGTCCTTCCCTCCCCTCCCCTCCCTCCATCCCTTTTCCTCTCCTCTCCTCTCCACCCCTCTCCTCTCCTCCTCCTTTCCTCTTCTCTCCTCCTCTCTTCCCTCCTCTCCTCTCCTCTCCTCTCCCCTCACTTCCCCTTCATCCCAACAGGTGGAGCTGAGCCTCTGCAGCTGCCACCCTCCCCGCCTCCACCACCCTCGCCTGTTTCTGATGGGGCCACCCTCTCCCTCTCCTTGCTCCCCGCAGCACTCTCAGCTGCTCTTGTCCTTGCCACCTCCGCCGCCCTGCTGGCTGTCGCTTGCCTGTAGAGCCTGACTGATTCGTAAGGGTAGGCCTATACCGATTTTGGGCCGTGAGCCTGACTTTCCCCTGGAGCACTTACGGTAACAACCAAGTCTTGCCTCGGAAGTGTGCAGTCTCATGTGCTGGGCTGCTTGTGGGTGTCAAATTTCTTTTGTTATCTCTAGGCTGTAGTGGGGCATATTCTAAGGGGTACAACACTTAAGGGTTAGGTACTACTTGTACTCATCCTTGCTACCTAGTCCACCATTCCTACGTTCTATTCTGACATGGTATTTAGAGCGGGTCCATCCTCCGTAGTGTTGGAAACAAAGTGACTTAAACGCTTCTGATGTGTCGAAACACCGAATTGCAACCGAAGCTAATTACAACGAAGCAACGGCGAGTCAACCATCGGAGGTTGATAGAAAATGTAACCGCTGGAGGTTACGCGAAGGTCAAAGGTCGCTGACCTTTGACTCGACAAATACAGCGCGACAGCAAGGACAAACAACTGACTCGACAAATACAGCGCGATAGCAAGGACAAACAACTGACTCGATACTAAGCAGTTGCCCGAGTCGTCACTGTATCGAACCGCAACAGCAAGAGTAAAACAGTTATTAGTTACACCATTTTCATATTCTTTGTAATCTTATAAAAGGCCTGTATTACTTCCTTATAATTACTCTATCTTGCCCTCACATACTAGCGCAAGGTGGTTCAACACTTGTTATTAAACGCTTCCGCAACTACAACATTCCTACCCAGAGTTTAGCCTTGCAAAGATCTTAAGGGCTTTTCTCAGCCCAACATGTAAGACCGCTCCGTTAGGGCCCACCGCTAGTTTAGACCTGCCCAAAGTGCCCGAATTGCCCGAACTGCCTTTCTCGAACAGCGTTCCTCACGCTGCCCTGCCTGCGCTGCCCCACGCGCTCTGCCTTGCCCGTCGCGCTGCCCGCTTGGTGCCTAGCACACGACCCGCACGCTGCCCTGCTCGCGCTCTGCCCTGCCCTGCGCTCTGCCTGCACGCTGCCCTGCACTGAAGCCCGCGCGCCGCCCTGCCCTGCAGCTTGCGCGCCGCCCTGCCCTGCGGCCCGCGCGCCGCCCTGCCCTGCAGCTCGCGCGCTGCCCTGCCCGGCTGCCCGCAAGCCTGCAGCCCGCGCGTTGTCCCGCTCGCGCAGCCCTGCAGCCCGCTCGCTGCCCTGCGCTGCGGCCCGTGCGATGCCCTGCCAGTACAGCGACTACCTTTACCGCTACAGCAGTCGCTTCTAACGCCCTTGCACCGCTGCTACTGACACTCACTGCCTGTCATGGCCACTGTCACGGTCGTAGCAGCGTCTGGCGGTGGATAGCAGCAGCAGCGACAGCCGGAGACTCTATCGTCGCAGCAGCTTCGCGAGTGGGTTATTCGGCAAGGCCGTCCTGGTGGTGGAAGCTAAATGCTGGAGGTACTGGACAGCAGCGGCAGTCTCATCGCCAGGAGACTCTCTTGC